TGTGGGAATGGGACAAAATTAAGATGCTCCTTTTCCAGGCTCTCTTTGAAGAGAACATGAGTGGTCTGTCTTTGTTATTTGCATATTCACTTGCCTGAAAGAATGAGAGTACAGAGACTTAGCTCATTGATTGGGTGCCTTCTGCTCTGTTACTTGGATTCTGTGATTCTTAACAAAGAGCTAGTACCAAAAATAAATACTTATTATGCTAATTTTTTTTTATAAAAAGCAAGGGGCTAGAGCTAAGTGGTAGAGCATGTGCTTAGTGTGCTTGAGGCCCTAGGGTCAGTCCTAGCACTGGAAAAAAATGTCCTTAAAGCATTTATTTTTAAACACAGGTGGAATGAGCTAGGAGGGTGTGTGACTCCCACTGGTCGCCTACAGGTATGGGCAATCTTATATTCAATGAATAGAATCTGTCTCCATAGTGCACAATGATTTCTGTAAGTAGCCATGGAGAGCTATACATCTTGTTTAATGCAGAATTATTAATCACTTAAGAATAATTTTTAGAGCCTTATTGCTAGTGTTTAAATCTTACGTGGATATGTGGCTGAAGTAATATGGCCCCTGATTTCTTTTCTGTATGTTGTTATGTTGTTAGAAATAAAAACACAAGTGGGAATGTGAAAATAATCAATTTGAGAGAAAAAGTGAGTATACACTGTATTTGTTAAGCTTTAAGAATGGTCTGGCTTTAGCCACTGAATATTTGGGTTTATACAATAAAGAAAATATATCAGGAATTTTATGAATTGGTCCATGTGGAAATTGTAGCTATTTGCTTTATCTTGTTAATCTTTCAAAGAAGTAAATTTAGACTAGGTTTGATAATGTAGTTATGGCAATATTAAGTGAGCAGGAAATACAACCTTACATGATTTAAAAAACGTTCTTCATTATTTTAATCTTTAGCTTTACTGAATAATTAATATTTCTTCAGGAGTAACACTTGCCCACAGTTTTTCCTCTACCTCTTTAAGAAAAGGGTTTTCATTTACTGTGGAAGTGGTTTTGGTGACTGAATTATAACTGAAAATCTTAAGGCATTTCTCTTTAGACTGGCATTCTTCGAACCAACTGTGTGGACTGTTTGGATCGCACCAACACGGCACAGTTTATGGTGGGGAAATGTGCTCTGGCTTACCAGCTGTATTCTTTGGGGTTGATTGACAAGCCTAATCTACAGTTTGATACAGATGCAGTTAGGTAAGCCTAGTTTCTGCTGTTTGGATGCCAGCAATGAATGACAGAAAGCAACCTGATTAATAATAAGAACTTTTAGCTTCTCAATGATTATGTTGCTAGAAGACAGTATTTGAATTAATTCTGTGACAAATATTTCTATTAAAGATTTGTGTAAAGATTTGCTTGTGTTATGAATATTTTGTAGATAAATCCCAATGGTTTATACAAGCTACTAGTTTCTTTAAAAATCCAGATGGCACTGGATTGTACTGTGCCTTCATACATTTTGAGTTAAAAATATAAGATGTATAAAAGATGGATTCTTCACCGAGGATTACTGTTTCTTTACTGACAAGTGACTATGACATTGCCTGCAATACTATTTTTTTGAAAATAAAATGATAGCTGTTCTTGGTCATTTTGAGATTTTCGCAAAGGCTCAGCTGAGGAAGTAACCAGCTTACACGTGCCAGATCCACAGATATCATTGAGCTTGAAGAAACACTATTTTCAAACACAAACATATTTCTAAGAAAGACTATGGTTTATCTGTGTGCTTTGGTCAGAATGTTTGTGTCTCTCAAATTTATCTATTGAAATCCTTACCCCCAAAGTGCTGGTATTAGGAGGTAGGGCATGTGTGAAGCAGTTAGATCTGAGAATGGAATCCTCATTACTAGAATTAATACCCTTTTAAAAGAGACCACAGAGAACTAGCTATCCACATCCTCATGTGAGGACACAATGAGAAAGCACCATCTCTAAACTGGGAGGTGCCCTCATCAGACACAAAATCTGATAGCTCCTTTGTCTTGGACTTCACAGCCTTCAGAACTGTGAGAAACAAATGTTTGTTGTTTATAAGCTAGGCAGTTTATGATATGTTGTTATACCAGCCTGAATAGAGTAAGGTACTGTCTACAACAAGAGCGAATCTTTTTTTCAAAGGTAATTCAAGAGAGAATAAAATTTGGTCATGGGAGATAAATTGATCTGGCAGGCCATAGAACCTTAGGAGTCTTTTTAATATGATTAGAAACAACTTAGTCTGGCTTTGATGTGCTGTATTTTGGGTGCTCTTACTTTCTTTTTAGTGTTTTCTGTAACCTTTACACTTACTGGAATATCATTATGAAATATTACACATTTACATTTATTTTCAAGATGGTGAGGGGTTTACTTGAAAGGCTCAGAAGAATTCATAAAACAAAAGACTTGTTCTGAGTCTGTGACTAAGTGAATGACTTGTGCAGTAATTTTGGTAAAATTCATTAATGTGTTTTTCTTCTGCTTAGGTTATTTGAGGAACTCTATGAAGATCATGGTGATACCCTGTCCCTTCAGTATGGTGGTTCTCAACTTGTTCATCGAGTAAAGACCTACAGAAAGATAGCACCGTGGACTCAGCACTCAAAAGACATCATGCAGACTCTGTCTAGGTATTACAGCAATGCTTTTTCAGGTAATTCTGAAGTAATAGGTATTTCTAAGACTTACCCTGAATAAACATTTTGAATTTTAAATACAGCACATTTTCATTTTGACACTTGTGGTTGCAGTTTTTATATAATGCAACATGCTTTGGTTCCTTGGCTTCTGTCTCCTTTTTTAGGTCTACTTGTATTGTATGTATAAATTTGTCTGGGTATTGAATATTTTTCAAATAGGATTCAAAATCTTGATAAGTACCTAAGAACATAAATATTACTAATACTTTAAAATGTCAGCTAGAAATGGATATGGTAAGAGTAGCATTAAATTATACTTCTTTTATGACTTGTTAATACTCAATGTAATAGGTTGTTATAATGGTATTTTTCTTGTATCCATTCTGGTGCCTTTCCCAATACAATAGATATCACAAACCAAAGTGATTGTGAGAAAAATGTTCATGTGCAAAGGAAGTACTTAATGATCCATTCCATTTTGAACAAATTAAGGATAAAATGTTCAGTGTGGAGAAGATGATTGATAAAGAAGTCCTTTGGAGTGAACTATCGCCTGCATGCCTATTACCCATCCCCACTCACATGATGGAAAGGAAGGGCTTCAGTGGCACTCTGGTAAGCCTGATGTGCTGTCCTCCACTGGAGGGACCCCACACATTGGCTGTGGGATGTGGACTGCTGTACAACACATCTGTAGCAGAGGGGTGGCCAAGGAGAGTGCTACCAAGATGAGAACCTCCTGTACTGCTGAAGTTGGTTGGGCCACAGGATATTTGAATGTTTATTGGTAACCAGATGTGGACCTCATGGAGGAGACTATCAGCATTGGGTTGGCCTGGATCCTGGCCAATAAGGCCCCTTGAGGGACAGAAAGACCCTAGCAATAAGAACCAGGAGGTGAACACTGGACATCTAAGGAGCTAAGGAAGGAGCTACAAGAACTTCCTGATTAAAAATGCTGCATGTGCCCATATCAAAGGAATTGCAAGACAGTCTCCAGTAATGGGAGCCCCAGCGGCATCCAGAAAGCATCCACAAGGGACAGCTTCTGGGCCCAGAATGAATGAAAGTCAACCTTTTTATGCCCCTGTTCCTATTACTTTTCTATGCTGCTCAATAAATTACTATAAACCTTGCAGCTTAAACTAGTGCACCTTATGTCACAGTTTCTATTGATCAGAAATCCAGATACAACTTAGCTGACTTTTCTGCCTAGGATCTCCTAAGGCTTTAGTTATGATGTCAGTCTGGCTGACAAGCCTTCTTTGGAAAGCTTGGCTCTGAATGGATCCATCTTCTAGCTGGAGTGCTTATTGGCAGAATTCAGTTCCTTGCAGTTCTTTGTGGCTATAGGACTCAATAGCAGCTTGCTTCCTCTCAGGTGGCAAAGGAAAGAGTCTGTAAAATGAGGCTGCTAGCAAGACATTCTTTTGTGAGGTAAGGTCACTGTGGAAGTGACATCCCACCATCTTTGCCATATCCCACTGGTCAGAAGCAAATCACAGGTCCCACACATATTCAAGGGAAATGTGTGTCAGTTTCTGAAGGCTGCTGTAACAAAAGAGTATCATGTGATGACTTAATACTACAGAAATTGATTATCACACAGTTCTGGAGGCTAGAAGTCTAAAATCAGTGTCAGTAGGGCAACTCTCCTCAGGAGGATCCTGACTAGCTCTTCGTAGCTTCTGATGGCTACTGGCAATCCTTGTGTTCCTTGACTTTCAACAGTAACACTTGAGTCTCTGCCTTTGTTGTCACGTGGTAGTCTCCCTTCATGTCTGTTTTCAAGGCTTTCTCCTGTGTCCTCTCACTTCTTATGAGGACACCAGCCATACTGAATGAAGGGCCTTCTCACTACAGTGATTGCACCTTAAAGTGACTATATCTACAAAGACCTGTTTCCATATAAAGTCACATTTACAGGTACTGGGGGTTAGAGCTTATCTTTTTGGAGACACAACTTGGCACACAAAAGTTGTGGGGAAAGTGAAAGGGTATAATTATAAGTCATGCACTAATAAGTACAGCTTTTTTCTAGGTGTGTGTCACCCAGAAAAAGGTTTAGAAATGCCCTTATGGATAGAGCAACTGCTCTTCTGCTCCTCTCCTATCTTCATTGTCCCTGTAATGGGGATCATTATTGACACTTAAGGACCAAGGCTTTTTTATAGGACTAGAAGAAAAAAAGAATGAGTGTGTAGCTATACCTAATTTAATAAGGAAGGCATAATATTAAAAGGTAATGATTGTCATGAGAAAGCAATATGCATATATACAAAGGTAAGGCAAAAGTATGCACAACTGAAAGATGAGCTATGAAAGGTATTATGAATAATGTGGCTAAAACAGACTTCTTTATTTTAAGAAGCATGGTGTCATTGGAGTGTACGCCTTACTTTAAAATTACAGTGGGTATTATATAATGATAATATGGAACAATTTTGTTTAAAGTATTCAAAGTATTTAAGATAACTGCAAAACTTAATCAGTCTCCTCACGTCATGCCTCTGGGGTAGTAAGGAAGATATTGATTAAGAAACTAGAATAATGAAACCAAATGTGGTGGTACATGCCTGTAATCCCAGCACTCAGAAGCAAAGGCAGAAGAATTGCAAGTTCGAGGCCAGCCTGGGCTACATAGTGAGTAGAATAATGAAATTAGGTAGTTAGGAATATTACCCTTAGTTACCCTTACCCTTGGTTTGTTTGTTGGCAGTTTAAACTTGGGGCCTTGCGCTTGTTAGGCAGGCTCTTTTACTGCTTGAGCCACTCTGCTGTCCCTTTTCTGTGATTTTCTTTTTCTTTCTTGAGATCGGGTCTCTCAAACTATTTGCCCAGGTGGCTTCAAACTGCGATCCTCCTGATGTCTGCCTCCTGAGTAGCTAGGATTACAGGCATGAGCCCCTTGGTTTGTTAGACAAATAGATGCTATGTGGGCAACTCACTTGATCCTCTTTCAGGCTTCTTTTAAAAACTGTTCTTAAAGCTAGGTACAGTGGTGATGTGTACCTGTAGTTCTAGCTACACAGGAGGCTGAGGCAAGATGATGACTTGAGCTCCTAAGTTTGAGGCTAGCCTGGACAACATAGCACAACCCCATTGTTAAAAAAACTAAAAGCAAGGGAGGAGAGGAACAACAGAGGGTGATGGTGGATAAATATGATTGAAGTACATTGCATACATGTATAAAAATGTCATAATGAAACCCATTTTGTAAAAAGAAAATACATGTGAAATTAATGAGATAATAAATGAATAAACAAACAGGAAAACTGTTCTTGAGGCCTCACACTGTGTCATGCTCTGGAGGCTGTCTCCAGGGAGCATTTTTGGTTTCCAGCATAAATGGTTGCCTAGGCAGGTGGAGGATGCCTTATCAGAAACATGTTGGTACCTGGGCACTCCCCTCAGATGTTAGGAGGAACTTTGAATTCCCTTAAGAACCTTGTTGAGCTGCTTCTAATTTGTTCCATACACTCAAATTTTATAAGTTTGGATTTTCTTGCTGAAGCTTGTTGAATTTAAATCCCATTATAAGAAAAAAAGTTAATAATAGAACTGTATATATATATATGTATATATGTATATATATATATATACATATATACACCTATGCATACATATATTTATATACATATACCCCACAAGTGTATGTGAGTATAATTTAAATGTAGTGAATGCATGTGTATGCATGCAGGAGAACCATGTATTCCTCAAACAGATTTTTTTTTAAATACAAGAAAATCTCAGTTCTAGAGAAGTGATCACCAAAGAGGGAGCTGAGCTGGTCCCCTAGCATTATGAAGTGCTCTGGGGTACTGCGGTAGTTGCTTTCCCTTTCTGCTCTGTTGAAAGAGGGACATGCACGAGGATGTGCTGAGAAAAATTTAATTTGTCGAGAATATTTATATAGCCTAAGGTCATCCTTCAAAGAGCAGATTTTAACTAAGTTGCATTTGGCTGTAGCAGAAAGAAAACAAATAGAAAAATGTTTTAATAGCATTTTCAATAACATTGATAACTTAGCTTAAAACTCTACTCTCTTAACCTCTCCTACAACCAAAGCAGTTGAACATGACAGTAAAAAAGCTACAAGTTTTTACTCTCAGTTTAGACTGACTGCAGTTCTCCAAAGGACTCAAAAAAGCCTAACAAGCTGAATATGGTGGGGCATGCCTGTAATCCCAGGTATTAGGAGAGGAGGAGCACAAGTTCAAGGCCAACCTGGGAGACCCTATCTTAAAAACAAAATAAAAAAAAAAGCAAAAAGGACAGGAGTTGTGGTACAAGTGGTAGAGTATTTGCTAGCATACATGAGGCCATGGGTTCCCTCAGCATTGCAAAAATAAAACTACTTCACCTTGACAGTCTTACTATGTTTCCCCAGTGTGTTCATTTGCTTACTCTCCAAAATGGCCATTTTATGCCTGTCCTCTCCTCAAACCTACAATCCCCAATCTCAGCTCCTGACCTTGGCTCGTACCTCACTGAGAAAATAAAGGTCATTGGAAGGAGACTCCTTTTTACCACCAAATGCAAAAGATGTCCCTATCTGCAGTTACCCTGTGTTACAATGTGTGGAGTGTCCCTGCCCAGTTTGATGCTAGGCCCTCTGCTGTGTTTCGAATCTTGCCCACTTGTTTTCTCCTGCAATACACACTCACTGCTGTCTGTGCATCACCACTGTCTCCCTCTTTACTGCATCACTTCTATTAACTTGAAAGCACACCTAAGTGCATTCCATCCAACCTTCCATCTCTCTGATCCCACATCCCCTTCCAGCTACAATTCTAGTTCTCTGCTCTACTGAGCAAAACCTCTTTAAAGAGTTGTACATGCTTTTTTCTGTATTCTCCACTGGACATCTGCCCTATTATGACACTTATCAAGGTCACCAGCAGTCTCCACATTGCCATGTCCACTTGTTGCTTTTCTTTCTCCATTTTACTCAACCATTAAACAACTTTTATCTTAGCTGACCGTTCGCTCTTTTAAATAACTCTCTTTTATC